CAAATGAGTTTGAGTGATGAACTTATAAAATCATGGGGAAAATTGATAAGGTAAATGGCAGGTGTCTTTTCTCTAGGGTGGGGGGTTTCAAGACTAGGGGGCATATTTTTAAGGTGAGATTAGAAAGATTTAAGAAAGACATGAGGGGCAATTATTTTTACACAGAGGGCGGTTCATGTGCTGAATGAACTTCCTTACTTCAGTGCAGCATCACTGCTCTGAGCTTGTACTAGATCTTTGACCTTGGTTTGATCCACAGTGAAAGCATCTATTGATTCTGAAATGGGAGCATGCCATGGTTCTTCTTTGTGGGCACCCTACTTAGTCCATTTGTCTTCCCCTGTGTTCCCAGTTGAGGAAGTTCATTGGTGGGCTTTGGCCTTAATGATGCCGTATTCACTGCCTTGTGCATGTTGAAAAATGAATTTGAGCAGGGTGCAAACAGTAACAGTTTCCCATCTACAAAGAAAATCGTCTACCTTCCCACAGTGGCAGAAAGTCACTTAAATTGTTATAAACTGATATGCTGTCTGAGTTTTTTTTTCAGGGTGGCTGACCATGCAATCTACAGCTGAAAGCTCAACAATCTGAATGCTCATTGCAGAGCTTCAGCGCTTAACCCTGTTTGGAATTCGGCTGTGTTGTTCTTCATATATATAACACATCCTGTCTTTTAGTGCCTGTCTTCCACTGTAGAGGATCCGTCCATGAATATTCTTAGTGTTCACTCTCCTGATCCCCAGGTTCCCTTGGGTCTTCCTCATATTTCTTGGCACAAATCCTCCCTTAGGGAAGTTTGTTGCAACTACCTGATATTCATGGGGTTTTCTTCTATAGCTCCAATTGTCAGCAAGGAAGGTGGGCACTTTATTATATATTAAGCGTAATGTTGTGACCCTTTATCATTAGTACACAATGCATTACACACTTGTAACTGACCATGCCATCTTTAATCCTGCTGTCCAGCAAAAATTGAATGGGGGTGTACTCTGTCAAAGTGGTTAGGAGATTCAGGTTGAAAATGTAGGGACTCGCATAGTGATTTTAATAAGGAATATTTTGTTAACAAAATTGAGTTGAACCACAAATTGATTTCAGTGTCCTTTTGTCTGCCTTACGAATGAGCACTTGGATGAAATGTCCAAAACACAGGCAACAGTTCAGACCATCTACAAAGCATTCAATCTGTCCTTCACCAAATGTGTCCGATCTACAAAATGCAGTGTAGAAATTCACCAAAAATCTGGATGCAGCATCTTCCAAAATCACAACCACATCCATCCATACTGACAAGGGCAGCAGATACATGGAAGCACCACCACCTCCAAGCTACTCTCAATCTTGACTTGGAGATATTTTGTTGTTCCTTCAGTGTCACTGGGGAAAACAAATTGTAGAATTTGCTCCCTAATGGCATTGTGGGACTTCCTGCACCACTTGGACTGCAGAGTTTCAAGAAGGCAGCTCACCACCTCCTTCTCAATGGTAGTTGGGGATGGACAATAAATGCAGGCGAGCAAGTGGCACCCATGTCCCATGAGAGAACAAAAAAAAACTTGTTGCTATATATCTGGCATAGCTCCACCCACATTTTTGTTTGTAAGGGAGTTGCAGGATTTTGATGCAGCACTAAGGGCATTCTGCTTTGTATTGGATTGTTTTGAAATCCTTGAGTGGTCTTGTAGCTGCACTCCTCCAGACAGGTAAAGACTAGTTTTGGGTGAATGTTATTTGCCACTTATCAGCCCAAGCCTGAATATCATCCAGGTTTGCTGCATACAGACAAGGACTATTGATGTGTCTGAGGAATCATCTATTGGTGCTGTTCAATGACCTTATGATTCTGCGAATGTCATTGGTGAAACAGCTGAAGATGGCTGGGGCTAAAACACTACCTTTTAGAGAGTCCTGTGGTGATGGAACGCAATGATAGACCTCCAACAACTGCAATAATCTTCCTTTGTGCGAGATATGACTCCAACCAGTGTGGAATGCCCCCATCACTGCTAATTCCCATGTTATTCAATTTTGCTTGTTTTGTTTGATCCAGAAATGTCTGAATAAAGACCTGAAGAGTTTATTTCAAGCTGAGAACATTTAAACTCTAAGTGTACAAAAACTTTAGGAATGTTCAAATGTTGCCTTGATTTCAAGAGCAGTCACTTGCACCTTACTCCTTGCCTTAGGCTGTCTTCTGCATAGAGTCATAGAGCTTTTGCAGCACAGAAAGAGACCCTCTGGCCATTGTGCCCCAGCAGTCATCAAGCATTCTCTTCTAATTCCATTTTCTAGTGCTTGGCCAGTAGCCTTGCATGCTGTGGCATTTCAAGTGCTCATCTAAATATATACTAAAATGTCTGAGGGTTCCTGTGTCCGCCATCCTTGGGTGAAGATTGAAATAGAAAGCATTATTCCTGAGAAGGGGAGCAAATAATGAAACTTGATTACTTGTAGTTTAGTGATAGACTCTGACCAGAAACCCTGAAGAATTTATTTGAAACTGACAACATTTAAAGTCAGGTCTATGAAAAGCCCAGGAAAAAACCATAAGATTTTTCAGATTTGGAGTTGAAGTCGCTGTTAACTTAAGCCTATCAAGGTGTTAGAATAGGAGATTTTTCTGTGATACGAGTACTGTGCAAGGGTTGCTTTTGGGTATTGTTAAGACCTGTTTTTGGATCTGTAAAGAAGTGTTTTGAGATTAGTGGGATTTAGAGATTTGTTCAGGTTCTACCAGAAATTGATCACTCATTGTTTATTTTCTTTTCACTAACAACTCTGACATTACAAGATGAAACAGGCTACATTCTCAGTGTAATTATCCCAAACTTCTTTGAATTGCATTTACATCACAATCATTATCAGTTACTCAATTCAATGTCTACTTATCAGAATTAATGCTTTAACTTCAAAAGTTATAGTCTAATAGTTTTATAGTCTAAAACCTATTGAATTAAAAACCAGGTTTCCGCAACAAAACAAGTCTTTACATATTGCTTACCACTTCCGTGTGTGTTCATACTTGCAGCTTGAAGTAAAGATTAAAGTTTTACATCTGCATAAGTAATGACTGCATAAGCATATAATTCATTCAGATTTATCAAATGATTAATCATAATACTGAATTTCAAACCAAATCACCAGTACATGTACAAGACTGCTATTCCATAAAACCAGTGATCCTAATGTTATTCTCCATATGATTGTTAAATAGTACATACTACTGTGAAGACTGCCACATGGAACCTATGATATTGAAATAGTCCTTTTTGAGCTTGACATAGAGCAGGTTTTTTTTTTACAATTCTATCACACAGCAGCATTTGTAACCTCAATAGTTTTGAAACATTTCATTTATTTTTATTGAATTTGGTCAGGAAATTTTTGCAATCTTTTATACTTACGAACGAATCTGTAAAGCCAGCATACTGTCTCGTCTGCAACAGATGGCCAATTATCTGTTCTTGTCATTCTTTCAGCAATATCTAATTCTGTGTTGTATAATTTTTCCTAGGTGATACAGATTTTGAAATGGTAATATTGATGAAACTATCAACATTTGGCATCTTTGCTGTGTTAAACTGACAACAACTCTGGTGTCCACATGTGCAGTTTAATGCCAAAATTGAGAAGTTAGTGCACCGTAGGATATGTGAGCTAATTTTGCACTACCAACTTTCTCCTCCACCCCATCAACCTATCCTCAGTGGAAAGATTTCCTAATTACTTGAATTACCATGAAAGCTTACTTTTGTGTCATAAGGACATCTGAAAACATACTTGCAATCTTTTTTGTCTGGTTGAATGAAGTATGGCTGAGTATTTTGACACTGTACTAATTTTGTAATTATTCTTGAACAATTCCTTTGGCACTCAAAGCTAATTTTATTTGTAGAATGCCAATCTTTTCACAATTGTGCTTAAATAGATTTTGAATATAATATATTTTAAAGTTTAGTACATGAAGTTTCTGCTTTTCTTTGGATCTCATTTGTTTGTCCCAGTCTTTATTTTGTTTGTAAAATGATTAAAATGTGAAAGTTAATCAGTGTGTTTGACGTCCTGATTTGTTGACGCCAAAGATTTTCCAGTAAGAGAGACTACTTAGCATGTTTGATAACAGCAATGCTGGAGATAATCCTTAATGTTGGCACCAGAATTAAGTTAACATTGGAAAGACAAAACCCAAGCCACAGAGATCAGCAGCATTCTTTGAGGTCAGCAGTTAGAACTGTCCCTGTTGCTGCTGACTGCAAATTCTGGGCTATGATCCTTTTCCCCCCTCTAGTTGCAGTCTTCCTCAAAATTTCATTTGCAGTACTAAATGGCATTTTTCTCAAGTTAAGTGGTGAAAGTATTAACTTCGGAACAATGTCTTGGATAGAGCAAACTTGTGAATCAGGAAGAGTACGATGTGTCACTTTCATTATACAAAGCATAATTTAAATATATAAAGTTTCAGACTAAATACATGATTTATTGCTACACTACAATTTTGAATTGTTTAATCATGTGATTTATCCTTAAATTTGCAATAGAGAGATTGAGAGTTTGAGTTTGGAGTGAGGAGTGTAACAACCACTGCTGTGTTTTTCTTTGCACTTGAACTGGCACATCTTTAAAGCAAACAGATCTGGGCTTAAGAGTGTTTATAGACTGTATAGATTTTCTTAAATGATTTATTTATTGTTCAAATAGCAGAGATCTTTTTTCCCCAGTTAAGACTTGTGACCCTGACTTTGCAGCCTTTATTGTTTTGAATATTGCTACTACCCTAATGTATAAAACATCCTGCCAATGTGCTTGTACTGACAACAGTAATTTTAATTCAGTTTCTAAAAAGGTTTTCATCTAAGATACATCTTTCTTCATTCTTGTACTGGATTTATATGCCGTTGATTTGTTTGATTTGAAATAAGATAAATGCCTATTGCAGTTGAACAGTACATTAATGTTAAGATTAAGAACTCATGGAACATTTTGTTTTATTTTTGTTTTAGGTTCGCATTGAGACAGCTACAACTCTGAAGCTTGATATCCTTTAAATGTTGATAGGAATGCTATGTTCTGATGTGATTTGAAGACCGTATCACCATTTTTCCAGTATTGTGAAATGAGAGACTTGATCTGATCAACAGGTGTGGCATCCCTCAGCCTTCTCTATTGCTGCTTCTGCTGACTGCCCATGGCACCAAGGAGCCTGAACAAAACTGGAGTCAATGGGGGTCAGGAGGAGGAAGGCTCTCTGCTATTTGGAATCATGCATGGTGCATAGATAGTTGTGATTGTTAGAGACTAATCAACTCCGTCTCAGAGTATCACTGCAGGAGTTCCTCAAGGTAATATCCTCAAACCAAACATCTATGGCTGCTTCATCAATGACCTTCTTTCCATCGTAACGTCAGGAATGGGGATGATTGCTGAAGATTGCACGCTGTTCACCACAGTTTACAAATTCTTACATACTTAATCAATGGATGTCCATGTGCACCAAGACCTGAACAACACCCAGGCTTGTGCTGATAAGTGCTAAGTGACATTTATGCCACACAGTTGCCAGGCAATGACCATCCAATTGCCATTGTTGCACAAAACTTTGGTTGGATTACTCTGTGAAGTCTGGTCATTGCACTATAGAAAGGATTTGGTTGTACTAAAAAGGTACAGAGGAGATTCACCAGGATGTTGTGTGAAATGGAGTAGTTTAGCTATGAAGAGAGGCTGGATAAAATTGGATTGCCCTCTCTTTTGAGGAGCGAAAGCTGAGAGTGGATCTGATTGAGGTGTATTAAGATTATGTAGAGATGGACAGGTTAGATAGAATGCAGCTGTACCCATAGTTTAAGAGTCTTTAACAAGGGGGAGTAATTTTAACATGAAAGCCAGGAGGTTTAGAAGGGATTTGAGAAAAATCATTTTCACCCAGAGTGAGATGCGAATCTGCAATACACTGCCTGGAAGGATAGTTAAGGCAGGAAATCTCACAACCTTTAAAAAGTACTTGGATGATCACTTGAAGTGTCATAACATTGAAGGCTGTGACCCTAGTATAGATTTAGAGTAATTTGTGTTGATGCGGACTTAATGGTTCACAGCGCCTCTACTATATAGTCTGATTCTATGATCTCTGACAAGAATGAGTCTAACCACTGGCCTTTGACGTTGAATGGCGTTACCGTTGCTGAATTCACCATGCTCAACATTCTGGGTTACTATTGATCAGAGACTGAAGTGGGTCAGCCAGTTAAATACTCGGTTACAAGAGTAGAGCGTAGACTCGAAATCCTCTGGCAAGAAATTCACCTCCTGTCTCCCCATTGTATGTTCACTATTTATAAGGCACAGGTCAGGCATTCGATGGAATACTCCCTGCTTTGCTGGATCTTGCATGATTGGCACCACATTCACCAGCTTCAACATCTGCTCCCTTCGCTATTGACACTGTGGTAGCAATGTGTGTTATATATAAGATGCACAGCAGTAACTCTCCAAGGGTCCCAGCGCCTTCCAAATCCATAATCTCTAACCATTTAGAAGAATAGGGCGGCAGAAGCATGGGAACGCCACAAACTGCAAGTTCTCTTGCAAGCTACACTCCATTCCCGGCATGGAACCATAGTGTTGTTCAGTCATTGTCACTGGGTCAAAATTCTACCACACCTGACCTTAAAGCCCTGTAAATGTCCCTATATGCTCAGGATTCAAGCGGTTTAAGAAGGCAGTTTCACCAGCACCTTCTCTAGAGCAAATGGGGATGAGCAAAAATATGCTGACCTCAGCAGTGATGTCCACATCCCTTCAACAAATGAAAATTACTCAATCGATCAAAATGGAATAGTTTGAACCACCAAGTACTTTTCGTGTTTTTGTTTTGCGACTTTGGCAAAACTGAGTGTTTTCAGTAATTAATATTTTGCTTTCTTTTAATTGATTTTCAATGGTTAAGAGTGAATATATTGACATAAGTGGACTCTAATTATTGTTTTTCATTTACTTTAGATTCATTCTTTTTTTTTCTAATCATGTGAATCTAAACTATGGCTATATCAAGGAAAAAAGTAAGATTTTCACTGAAAAAAATACTTGCAGAATGCTTGGGGAACTGTTACTAATTCAGTAGTTTACAAACAAACATCTTTTTCTTTAACCTGATTGTTACCTGTAGATGTTTTTGAATTTAGGACAGAGCAGTTTGTTCCAGTAAGTATTCTATTATATGCATATTTGTAACTTTGAAAAAAATTTAAGTTTTCTTTAGTACTCCATATTGCGTAAGGAATTTTAGTTGATGGTTGAGAGAAAGAAATCTCAATAGAACCAAAACCAAACTTCAGTAAATGAGGTGACTAAAATCATGGATTGTGCTAGATCTTGTCCTGAAAATGCATGCTTAACAAGGGCACTGTTATTCATTTAGGCCAATTGATTATATTTTGTAAAGTTATGTGTAGGACAGTTTTTTGTAATTGCATTTTTCAGTTTAGTACTTGCATTGTACCTACACATGTATTAATAAAACAACTGTGCAGATGCAAATTCTCAAAATTAATTTAACCATATTAATGAGACTGTTGTGGATTAATCATCAGAGTTAGAGGACTGTAAAGATTATCACGACAAAACTGTACATGAAAGGTAGCTGCAAATTCTTTATCCATAGATTTTTATTAACTTCAAAAATGTTGCTTCATTTCTTTATTTTTCTCTCCCTCTCCTAATATTAAAGGAACTGATTACTGCTACACAGTTTGCTTTGGCTTGGAGGCAAAATGTATTGTGGTTATACACTAATCTCGCAATAGAGTCATAGTATGGATCAGAAACTTCAACTTGTCACGCCGACCAGATATCCCAATCTGATCTAGTCCCATTTGCCAGCATTTGACCCATATCCTTCTAAACCATTTCTATTCATATACCCATCCAGATGCCTTTTAAATGTTGCAATTGTACCTGCCTCTGGTGATTTTAGTTCTACGCCTCGGAACTAAATTGAAATGACACTATTTTCTGAGTTTAATGGGTCTTATTTTCAGTGCTTCAAAGTGTCTACACTGTGGTCCTAGCTCTAGCTTCCATCACTTTCTACAACTTCAGTTTCTTTTTTCCGAATTCAGCATCAAAAGTACATGGACTAAGTTCAAAATTACTAATGCATCATACACAGTGCTTGCAGAATTCAGGAAAGTAGATGAATAGCTTAAAAAGCTACAATTATAAACTGTTATACAGTCCAAATTGCTATAGTGACAATATTTCAAACAAAATACTTCATTAGTTACGAAACAGTTTGAGACATTGAGGTTGTGAAATATTCTATAATTGAATAAGTTAACTTTTTTTTGCCACGCATTGAATTTCAAAATTCATATTGGTTCTTTGCATTTTACAATTCAGCTTTTCACGATGAATGCCGAAACCTAGTGATTACAACCATAAAAAAAGAATTTGTTCTAAAGGGAATGCAGTGAGACATAAATGTGTTATTATTGATTGTATTATAAGGGGAGAATAATTTAAATATTCAAATCCCGGAAGTGAGGTCTTGTGGTGCAACGTTTATTTCTAGGAGTTTTTTAATTTTGTCACTTTGATCCACTTTTCAGCATTTTGATGTTAATAGTTGTTACTGTTGTAATTGACTGGGCAGCTGTCAGTTAGTCTTGCTTCTGTCGTGCAATAGTCATAGAATCACTAAAGCACAGAAGATGGCCATTCAGCCTATCTAGACAATACTGGCTGTTTGTAGACCAATTCCAATCAGTCCCATTCTTACCTTCTCTCCTATGCCTGTAATTCCACAATTTTATTTCTTAAATGTAATGACCCATTCAACTTGGGTGTCAATTTAACATTTTTGTTTTGTCTAAGATTGTTCTTTAACTACTCCAGCTATTCTCTGCTATTTTATATGATCCAGAGTGCTGAATGCTATGTAGCCTTGTAAATTGTACAAAGGAATTGTTTGGGCTTTATAGTTACCATATAATGGGCATAATTTTTGTAGAGTTCTAGTCCAGCAGTGCGCTAGCACAAGTTAAGTTAGAGATTCCTTTGAATTATTTAATCAAGTATCAACAAGAATCAAAAAAACACAAGTGAACAGCTCTCATTTAATATGCATTTTTATCTTCCAACGCCAGTCTACCTGTGAGAAGAAGGAAATTGAAAGCTTAGAAAAGGAAATTAAAGTATCTGTGACTAAGATTTAATAAAATTGTGTTTATTAATATATATGAAAAACATATGTAGACCCAAACCTGTTACTTTCATTTGCAGCACCTTATGACAGACTTAAAAATCTAACAATAACATTAATTGTATTCACTGCAGTCCATTTATACATTTTGATTTTCTTCTATATCATTTAATCTAGCATGACTTTCTGTTTCTAATATCATAGATTTAGTCTGTGGCTCATCATCTCATTGATTTCATGATATAAGACCCTAAATTCCTCTCGCATCTGACCTTCAACTAATTTACCTGTGGTTTTAAAAAAATTTTAATATTTATTTTGAAGGTGATCTCACTGGTACGTCTTGGTACTTATTCCCTATTCATAGTTGCCCTGAGAAGGTAATGGTAGGCCTTTTCCTTGAGCCAGTGCAGTCAGTGTTATTACTTTTATAGTGATTTACAGCTCGGATGCCTGTTAAGAGTGGATCACGTTGATGCATGGCAGCAGTCACATATAAGCAGTACTAAGTAAGAGAAGCAAGTTTACTTCATGAAAAATATAAATCCTCAAATTGCCATGCTGAGATTTGAACTGGCATCCATTGGGTTGCCAGTCCAGTAGCATGACTATTATACAGAGATTCCCTGACTTATTTTTTCTGTCTGATTCTTTGAATGGAGTACCACTTTTCCCACCTTCTTGTTCTTTGATATGAATGATTTTTAGGATATAGTGTTTATTTCTGGGGCTATATTTTCCAATATCAGCTTTAGTATTCTGGAACACTTTTTTGGTCTTGGTCTTAATACTATATGCTTTTTAATATTTATCTCCACTAATTTCTACAATAACTACTGTAAAATACTTTCAAAACATATTCATCATCCCTCAAGAAACGGAACAATCCCCCTCTGTCTCTGAATAGTCCATTCTGTTTTTGACTTTAATATGCTTATAATAGCTATTCCTATTTTCCTTGATGTTGACCTCCACTTCCTAATCTCTTGGTTTTATGTTTATATTTTCTAATTTTTTTGTCTATCTTTTCTTCCTTGTGTATCATATTTAAGCAAATTTATCTTTGCTGCAGCCTCTTTATATATTTACAAAACCCAGCCTGTCTTCTAGTCAAAATATATATTTTTTAAATTCTTTGGTGTGATTTGGGTGTCACCAGAAATGTCAACATTTGTTGCCCATTCCTAATTGCCCTTGAACTAAGTGGCTTACTATTCTATTTCAGAGTGTAGTGAAGAGTCAACCACATTTTTGCAGATTTATGCTCGTGTAAGCCAGTCTAAATAACTGGCCCCACTAAAACTTGCAAACCTGAAACTGATCCCTACTCTCGGCTTCCTGTTGCAAAACAATCTATCATCTATGATAAGTTTTCCCTTATGCCATGAGCTATTATTTTGTGTAATTGTCTTTTAATGTGTCATGTTATCAAATAACATCAGGGAACTCCAGTACTTGACATCTGCCTTTGTCCATGAGGGCCATCTGGGCTTTGAAGTCCCAGAGGATGCCCACCAAAGTCATCACAGTTAACAGGGTCTAACAGTCAGCAGGCTGTATCCACCGCAGCTCTGTATGTTGGAGCTATACCTGATGGCAGGTGAAAAAATAAAGTAGAGATAACAAGGTATAGAGCTGGATGAACACAGCAGGCCGAGCAGGAAAGCTGACGTTTCGGATCTGGACCCTTCTTCAGAAAAAGATTTTCTGAAGAAGGGTCCAGACCCGAAACGTCAGCTTTCCTGCTCCTCTGATGCTGCTTGGCCTGCTGTGTTCATTCAGCTCTACACTTTGTTATCTCAGATCCTCCAGCATCAGCAGTTCCCACTATCTCTGAAGAAAAAAAGTAGTTTTGAGAGCACACAATGAGGTGTTTTACTAATGCATAATCAGCACTATTCAGCATATGTTCACTACGTAGCACATATTCACATGCACTGCTTAAGTTTTCTGAAGTTTCTTAGTCCTGTTAGATCTGCCTGCCTCAAAGAAGTAGAGCACTTTTCCCTATAAGAATACCATAACCGTCTGTCCATGGAAGACTATCCATTGTATCACATTAAAGATGGGCATGCCTCATGTTCTTATTACCTAAGAAAGGATATACCTACAATGGAGGGGTGTTGCATCCATGGCTAATAAGACTAACTTTGGGTTTGTTAGGTGAAGTAAAAGTGAAAAAATCTGAATGGGCTCCGCAGAGATCTTTCCCTTTATACATGATGGAGATATAAAGGACTTCATTCTTTTGGGAATGGGTAGGGAGTGTTTGGAATTGTTCCATTCAGGAGTGATGAATGTATAGTGACTGAGTATGCTCAATCAATGTAATATTGGATTTTGGGAAGATATCCAGGTCTATAATGAAAGTAACAGAATGAAGTGTTGAGTTGCATCAGCCACCATTTTGGAGAAATGCCAAACATGTTCCATATCTGATCGGCCTACACTTGATTATCTTTCCTATCTCAATGTCCTTAATAATTTGGAGAATATTATGTTCATGTGAGTGCAGTGAAGCCAGGGTTAGACAGCGTGTGGCTTTCAAGGTGCTAGGTATTTGTGCTTGCTTGGGGCCACGGCCTGTTTCCTTCCAGGATCACATGGTTACAGGAGTATAATGTTATACAGGAACTGTTGGGCATCTTTTTTTTTTTACAAAAGTTAGGTTTTTCTGCGTGGACTGAGTGAATGGATTCTCACTTGTAGCACTGTCAAAGTAAGGAAAAACACTTAATTTATTAAACAGAAAGCAAAATAACTTAAAAGTCTTGAATCATGTCTGTCCCAAACAGAAAGTAGCATGCTCCCAGTCAACAGATTATTAAAAAAAATGACAAGTAAAAGGTCATGATGTAGAGGTGCCAGTGTGCGACTAGGGTGGACAAAGTCCAGAAGTCTCACGACACCAGGTTATAGTCCAATCGGTTTATTTGAAATCACAAGCTTTCGGAGCGCAGCCCCTTCATCAGGTGAAGTGAGAGAGAAGCCACAGAACACA